ATATATATATATATATATATACACATATATATATATATATATATATATATATATATATATATATTATACATATGTACTCATATATATATGCATATTCTATTTTATGCTTGTGTTGCTGTTTGCTCCTTTCTGTCGTTCATCTGCCCCTAAGTTTGCAAATTTTCGCGTTTTGTCTGTCACCACTAACAAAAAGAAATACTTTTCTTCTCCGTAAACCAACAACCCTCTACACCAACACTATCTAGGTAAATGCATGCACCCATGCATGCATGCATGCATGCATGCATGCATGCATGCATTCATGCATACATGCAGAAGGAACTACGTACATGCATGCATGCATGCGCACGGTACTAGCTACACGCATGCATGCATGTATGCATGGAGGCCTTAGGTACACGCATGCATGCATGCACAAGGAACTAGGTACATGCATGCATGCATGCAAAAGCCACTAAGTACATGCATGTATGCATGCATGCATACATGCAGGCTACATACATGCATGCATGCATGCATGCAGAAGGCTACATACATACATGCATGCATACATGCAGAAGGCTACATGCATGCATGCACACGGCACCAGGTACATGCATGCATGCATGCATGCACAGAAAGAGAAAGCGAGTGTTTGTTGTTTGCGTTGTTGTTTCTCTGTATCAAATAGAGAAATAGCAAAAAGAAAAATATTAATTCTTCTAAATGCAAATAAACTAACAAGGGCAGCAGCAAATGTTTAGTTGCAGCATCATAACGCCTACACAAACAGCAGCAGCAGCAGCAGCAGCAGCAGCAGAGCAGCACTACGCCCCTGACAATCAGCTTGTCTGCCTGCGTTTATATTTTTACTTTTTACGTTTTCTTCTTCTGCTTCTGTCTGTCTGTTTCTGCTGTTGCTCTTCTTCTGCTCTATCTTTATTATAATAAAGACATTTTCAATCGCGTTTGTGGTGTACGTACACTGCAAAGGGTTGCGGAGGGGAGCGGCTGTCCCCGCCCCACCAACAGGCAGCACTTTAATTCTGCTGCTGCTGCTGCTGCTGCTGCATGCTGCTGCTACAGCAGTATTAAGGCGCGAAAGTTGCAGCAGCAGCACACAGCAGCAGCAGCAGCAGCAGTTATTGCTGCAGTTGCGGTCTCTGATCTGCCGCGCTGCTGCTGATTTTGCTGCTGCTGCTGATGCTGCTGCTGCTGCTTCATCGGCAGCAGCTGCTATTGCGGTTGCTTGTGTTGCTGCCTGTAGCAAAGGCTGCAACTGGCGGTCCCCACGCTGCTGCTTCAGCAGCAGCAGCAGCGACTCATCGCGCAGCAGCAGCAGCAACTGCAGCTGCAGCAACCGAGCTTTTATATATAATAACAGAAAACCCCCAGTGCAGCGCGCAACCGCCGCTTTGAGAGAGAAGGTAAAGAAAGAGAAGCAGAACAGAGTAGCAGCAGCAGCAGCAGCAGCAGCAGGAAGAAGAAGACAGCCACAGAAGAAGCAGGCCCTGGGCGCCGTGCATAATAAGCGTGCAGCAGCAACAGCAGCAAAGCGAGAAGTACAGCATAATAATACACAATGCTGCTGCTGCAGTAACAACAATACGGTGTATATACACCGCAGCTGAGTAATGCACACCAGTAAGAAGCAGCACATCCATAAGAAAATACAGACAAAGAAGAGGAAGTATAATAATAATATAATATAATATCAGCAGAAGACAACCACCATAGCTGTTACATTATCTGCACAGTGTCCGGTCTGCTGCTGCTCCGCTAGCGCTTGCTGCACCAAACACTCTGCTGGATTCTCCCCTGCAGCACAAACAAAGCAGCAGCAGCAGCAGCAGCAGCAACAGCAGCAATAGCAGCAACAGCAATAGCAGCATTAGCTGCTGCATGAACAAGCCCCAAATGAAAGAATGCCGCAACATAACACCCAGCAGCTTTTTGCTGCTGCTGCTGCTGCAGCTTCTCTCTCGCTGCTGCTGCTGCTGCTGCTGCTGCTGCTGCTGCTGCTATATAAAATGCAGCAAACTTTGTTTGCTGCTGCATCTAACCTTGTGCATGAGCTGTCCAAGCTAATCTCGCTGCTTGCTGCGCTGACAGCACATCCCAGAGCCCGTCCGTAGCCAGCACCATTAACTTATGACGCGAAGACAGCCGCAGCACCCGCACATCAGGCTCAGCGCTTAACCCGTAGCCTTTTAAATCCTTCCCCTATTGACAGCAGCAGCAGCAGCAGCAGCAGCAGCAGCAGTAAGTGCAGCAGCAGGGACAGTGCAGACAATGGTTGAGAAAAGATACAGGCTGCGAGAGCCGTAAAAGAAGCAGCAGCAAAAGGATTTAGGTTGTGCAGCAAACAGAAACTGAAAATAAAACAGCAGCAATATGAAGCAGCAGCAGCAGCAGCAGCAGTAAGAACATGCAGCAGATATAAACAACATATAAACAGTTTGCTGCCTTTGCTTCCTCATATCACCGCCACAACTCCAGCAGCAGCAACACGAAGAGCAGTAGCAGCAAAACCAGCAGCAGTAGCAGCAACACCACAACCAACAGCAGCAGCACCACAACCATCAACAGCAGCAGCAGCATCACCAGCAGTAGCACCAGCAGCAGCAGCAACAGCAGCATCACCAGCACCACCAGCAGCAACAACAACAGCAGCAGCAGCAGCAGCAGCAGCAGCATACCCCGAAAGCTCTTGAGTACTGGAGCTGCATGGGCTGCTCTCCTTTGGACTTTCTCAAGCCGAAGTCGCCGCCTCGAATGAAGGGTTTGTTGTTGTGGTTGTGCAGATACTCTACACTGCCTCCGCTGTTCTGCATCAATAAATAAACAAATAAAATAAATAATTAATCCCATTATTAATTAAATTAATTAATATATTAATATTTATTACTCATCTGCTCAGAGACACGCATGCATGCAAATAATTAAATACTCATACGAAGAAAAAAAAAAAGACAAGATCTGCTGCTGCTGCTGCTGTTGCTATCAAACCCCAAACCCTAAACCCTAAACCCTAAACCCTAAACCCTAAACCCTGACAATGATGCGTTCTTGTTCGAGAGGCATATTCGGCTTGTGATCCACTGTTAGAAACTCCCCATCGATGGCGCCGCCCTCAACCTCAACGCCCAGCGCAATGCGGCTGTCTCCCTGCAAACCAAACCCTAAACCCTAAACCCTAAACCCTAAACCCTAAACCCTAAACCCTAAGCCCTAAACCGTAGACCGTAGAGCGTAGAGCCCAGGGAGACTGTAAACCCTAGAGACGGTATATAAACACCACTAAACCCTCTCTGTCTGAACATTCGCTTCGAATCGCATACACAACCCCTAAACCCTTAAACCCTTAAACCCTTAAACCCTTAAACCCTAAACCCTAAACCCTAGGGGCTCACAAGGTGGCCGACTGCGAGGAATCCACCAGCCAAAATAGCAGTAACAGAAGTGCTAGAAGCATAATCGTTTGAATGAAGCCTGCACAATTCGATTAACTCTGCGTCTGCACCCATGTACATACACCGCACCGCTGTAGCTAGAGCCTCAGGAAGCCCTGCTGCTGCTGCTGCTGCTGCTGCTGAAGCACCAGAGGCGTCGCCGTCGCCCGCTGCTGCAGGCTGCTGCTGCTGCTGCTGCTGCTGCAGCAAAGACACAACCCTCTGCCACCCGCTGCTTGTTACGAGGTGCGGCACCACCAAATCCTTCACCGACTCCGAAGCAAAGTCGCCTTCACACAAACCCTAAACCCTAAACCCTAAACCCTAAACCCTAAATCGTGGGTATTTGTGTGATGAAAGCAGCAATACTCTGCCTCGAGAAACAGCAGCCACGCTCAGCAAAACCACCTGCTGTTGCTGCTGCAGCAGCAGGAACAGCAGGTGCAGCAACAATCGCAGGAAGTAGACCGGCACCAAGTGCAGCAGCAGCAGCAAGTGCAGCAGCAAGTGCAGCAGCAAGTGCAGCAGCAGCAAGTGCAGCAGCAAGTCCAGCAGCAGCAAGTGCAGCAGCAGCAGCAGCAGCAACTGACCAACAGTGCCGTCGAAGACACCGAAGAATGCGGCGTCGTCTCTGCCTGCTATGAGGGCCGGGCAGACTGTAAATCTGTCTTCTTGGTGCTTCCTCCCCCCTGATCAGTGCAGCAGCAATAAAGACATGCAGATAGATATACATACTGCAGCAGCAGCAGCAGCGGCAGCAGCAGCAGCAGCAAGTGCAGCACCAGCGGCGAAAGTAGCAGCAGCAAACGCCACGGCACCATCGCTTCTATCGGCAGCAGCAGCAGCAAAACAAATGCGAAAGTGTCTATAGCAACAGCAGCACCACTCTCGCTTTCAGCAGCAGCAAAATGCGCAGCAACAGCAGCAGAGAGTGCAGCAGCAGCAGCAGCAACATACCGATGTCTGTATCAACAGAAACTTGAAAGGTGCCGTAGTTAGTGGGAGCCATCGGCTCGTGCAGCGTTCGCGGCAGCTCTGCTGCTGCTGCTGCTGCTGCTGCGTCGCCCGCAGCTGGAGAGTGCGCCATTGCTGTATACAGACTGCAACGCCTCCTGCTGCTGCTGTCGCTGCTGCTGCTGCTGCTGCTGGTGCTGCTGCTGGGAGTGAGAGCGAGTTGCTGCTGATGCAGCTGCTGCACTGCTGGGGACCACGCAGGTAGAAGCAGTTGCTGCTGCTGCTGCGCACAAACAAAAACAAACAAACAGTAGCTGCTGCTGCTGCTTCCAGCAAAAAACCAGCTGCCCCTGCTGCTGCTGCAGCTGCACAGCACAACTGACGAAGCGTGGTGAGGACAACTGGCTGCTGCTGCTGCTGCTGCTGCCGCTGCTGCTGCTGCTGGCTTCAGCGACACCCCACGCCCGCCCTCTCAATAGGCAGCAGCAGCATAGACGTCGATTTTGCTGCTGCTGCTGCTGCGTGTCGTAGAGCAACAACTCAGCTGCAGCAGCAGCAGCAGCAGGCAAAGCATGCAGGGGCCCACGCTGCTCCTGCCAGCAGCACGAGGCGCCGCCGCCGCAGCAGCAGCAGCAGCAGCAGCAGCTACAGCTACAGCTACAGCAACACACCTGGGGCAGCTGCGTATAGGCCTGCTGCTGCTCGACGATATAGATCTGCTTCGTGGCAGGGTTTTTTGCTGCAGCAACAGTTGCTGGCAGCAGCAGCAGCAGCAGCACCGCAGCAGCAGCAGCAGCAGCAGCAGCAGCAGCCGTAGTCAATAGGTTCTCTAGCAGCAACAGCGCAACCTGTCTCTAATCCAGATGCATAAAAAAGCATAAACACATCAGAAAGCTGCAGCAAATCGTAACATGCGCCAGCCGCAGCCGCAGCAGCAGCAGCAGCAGCCCGGGAGGTGCGCAGCAGCAGCAGCAGCAGCAACAGCAGCAGCAGCAGCAGCAGCAGCAACCAGTGCCACCAGGATCAGCAGCAGTTGACGACCTGCTGCTGCTGCTGCTGCTGTTGCTGCTCCTATTTACCTTGCGGTAAATATTATTATAATATGATGTCTCTTCAATTAACTGAAGCCGCAGAAGTACTACAGGGAGTAGCAGCAACTGCTGCTGCTGCTGCTGCTGCTGCTGCGAGGCAGCAGCAGCGTTGCCCCTGTCTCTGGGGCTGCTGTCAGCAGCAGCAGCAGCAGCAGCAGCAAAACGCTACTGCAAACCCAGAACCTGCTGCAGCAGCAGGGTTAAGGTAGCAACTAATAACTAATAACAACAGCAGCTGCAGCGCTACAATAGCAGCAACAGCAGCAGCAGCAGCAGAAACCATTTCAGGGCAACCGAGCAGCAGCAGCAGCAGCAGCAGCGGCAGCGAGACTCATATGCTCTCGCCTGCCGATCCCTAAACCCTAAACCCTAAACCATAAACCCTAAACCCTAAATGTTAGTTTTAACTTCAACTCCTACCGTCATTTCTAACGAGGACATCACAGCAGCAGCAGCAGCAGCAGCAGTAGTACACACAGCCGGCGAGCACACTGCTAGCTGCTGCAGCAGCAGCCGCAGCAACAAGGCCAGCAGCAGCAACTGGAATAGCCACGACAGCAGCAACTGTCGGAGCAGCAGCAGCAGCAGCAGCGAAAGCAGCCGCAACAGCAGCAGCAGCAACAGCAGCAGCAGCAGCAGCAGAAATGTCGTGGCTAGCAGCAGCAGCGCGGGGCCAGCGTGTGGATGAGGAGGAGCGGCAGCTGCGCAAGAGAAAGGAGATTGCAGCAGCAGCAGCATCTCCTGCAGCAGCAGCAGCAACAACAGAGCTTAACACACCACTAATTGCGGAAGCAGCCTCCACTGCAGCAGATGAGGCCTCCATAGGGCTTGCTGCAGCAGCAGCTGCTGCAGCAGAAGCAACTGCAGCGGCGTTAGCAGCTGCTTCTACAGCAGCAGCAGCAGCAGCAGAAGAGGCAGCAGTAGCAACGGAGGAAGAAGCTGCAGCACCAACGGAGGAAGAAACTGCAGCAGCAGCAGAAGAGGCAGCAGCAGCAGAAGAGGCAGCAGCAGCAGCAGCAGTAGCAGCAGCAGCAGCAGCAGCCAGTTCAACTTCTGCTGCGCGTACACCGCGAGCTAGCGGCACCCCCAGCAGCGGGTCTCCTACCCCTGCTGTTCTGTCTCCTGCTGCTGCTGTTGCTGCAGCAGGCTCGTTCTCGCCAGCAGCTGCAGCTGCAGCAGCAGCAGCAACAGCAAAGATGGGCACGCTGTCCCCCGATGCAGCAGCAGAGGAAGATGCAGCAGCAAAAGCAGCAGCAGCAGCAGCAAGAACTGTATGGCTAGGTCATAGCAGCAGCTCTCTACGACTAGAGCAGCTGCAGCAGCTAAAAGATGAAGTAGCAACAAACAGAAAGAAGCGGCAGCAACGCAGGCAGCAGCAGCAGCAACAACAGCAACAGCAGCAGCAGCAGCAGCAACAACAACAACAGCAGGACCTGCAATACGAACAGAAGCTGCATCGGCGAAGGCTGCAGCAGCAGCAGCAGCAGCAGCAGCAGCAGACAGGTGGGGAGACCCAAGCAAGCCAGAAAGATAAACTTGAGAAGCTTGTCGACTACAGAGGGAGGTACTAAATGCTGTTTCTGCTGCTGCTGCTGCTGCTGTTGCTGCTGCTGCTGCTGTTGCTGCTGCTGCTGCGTGTGCTGCTTGCTGCTGCTGCCGATTTATTTGTGTGTCTCCTCTTAACCTGTACATTTTATTTATTTAAGTAAATAAAATAAAATAAAATAAAATAAAATAAAATAGATAAAATAAATAAAAATAAATTAAATTAAATTAATTTGTTTAATTAATTTAATTTAATTTAATTTAAATATCAAAATAAAATAAAATAACAATATAATAAAATAAACAAAGAGGCAAGAAGGGATTGCTTTATATTGTTACTCTATATTTATATTCATTTATATTTATATCTGTATATGTTTATATTTATATTCATTTATATTTATACCTATATATATTTACTTTATATTTATATT